TAAAGGTGAAAATAGCATTGTAGTGCAAGAAACAGAGGATACATCATGGCATATGAGGACATGCTATGGCTTCTCACATTGTGCCATATACCATGGCACATTACACAGTTATGATACCAAAGATGTTGTCAAATAATAGCATCCAAGTGAACTTTCAACTTCTACTAGTATTTTGGCTTTTTTTTTAGATATCACATTAAACATACATATAACTTAGGGCCCAAAATACACAACTCAGCTTAAAAATAAAATAGTACAAGTATGCAAAACATGTAATATCCTAGTTGGCAATATCATGATACACATAAATCTCAAAATAAATGAAGCCTATAAATTTAGAATGAATATACTAAGCCTTAAGCAATATCCCTTGTTCTTATCCCGATAAGCTAGTACATGTAATATTGAAGAGATAGGGGTGAGTACAACCATTCAACAACTAAGGTTACATCTAACCTATACTAATTCATGTCAATTAGTTTTCAAAATGCAAGTGGCATAACATTCCCACACACAGATTAATTTACCATTTGCAAGATTTATTTCACATTTCACATTGCTAATAATGTGAGTTCATCCAATTTCATTACAAGAGTCACAATACAAATAACCATGTGTCGTTAACAATAACATGTATGATCACATGTCCCTTATATCCTCTTTATGCCTCCAACATGAAATTGTGAGCCATTATATATTAGGCTCGTCCATGTCATGAGACTACCCTACCCTTTCATACGTGAAAAGCTACTTGGCCAAGATTACTTAACTCACTTGTGGGTCATGATTTCCCTCCAAATCTTATACTATGGGGTGTCATTCTTTCTAAAATAACTTCCTCGTCAAACTAGTATAAACTAGATTAGGTTCAATTCTCTAAATAAATTATGGGATAGTCCCTCGTTGAATAACTAGGATAATATGTATAAATATATGTGGCAAGTCTTCAAGCTTCGAATAGCGGTTATATCATATGGATTTTAACTCACTACTCCTCTTCCTAGATTAAGTCTCATCTCATATGATTATGTAATGTACAAGTATAATATTTCATAGTATGCATAAGTATCCACAATATAAGCATACTTAACAATATCATCCTACTCATTTCATTTTGCAATCATGATATTTTCACATCACAAATTATTATAGCACTCCACATCACAAATTATCATAGCACTCCACATTGTTATATGTTTACACATTATTGTGTAATCATGAAACTCTTCTATTAAATATTTCTCTCCTTATTCATAGCACATGCGCATGTCTTTATACATGTCATTTCACAATTTACAAATTTGCCATAGTAATAATTATTCATTGTATCATATTAACTAATTCTTTATCACATGCCACACTTGCATTTAACACTTTCACACATTTCAAAATAATAATAAAACCATATAACAAGTCAACATACATAATTACAGGCAAGACTTCTCCTGATTATCTCAAAACTTTGAGAGGTTAAAGGTTTACTCATTAAAATAAATCCCTTTCAAAGTTTTACAAAGCTTGAATAGTGCTAATATGTAATTTAATCTACAAATTATGATACCATAATCATCAACATCATGATTTAACAACTCTTACTCCTTAACTCAACACTTTAAAACTCCCAATCACAACCTCTTCACTTTTAAACATGCCCATTAGTTCACATTAACTTCATTAAATTCTCAAAGAACCATTAATGACATCAATAACTTCCAACCACCAAATTTATTTTGGATTGTCAGGCATTATTGGTCCTCAACCACCAAAAATGCATTTATTGCTCATTATAGGGTTTAAATAACTTGAACAACTCCCATTAATTTTATTTTAAGTCAATGAGTTCGAACCTATAAACTCTAGAGTCTAAAAATCAACTCTCCTCTTTAAACCCTAACTCAATAATTCTCAAAAGATGAAGAAAGAAGATTAAGGCTTAGGAAACCTCTAGTGTTTAGAAGTTTTAAGATACTCCTAATACTTCAAAACTCCATGTCGTAGTAGAGAAAACCTTAAGTTTTTCATCCCTCTCTATCAACTTTCTCTATTTTCTTTCTATTTTTTGACCTAACTCATGCAAGATAAGTCAAGATTTTTTAGCCACACGCCATGGCATACATTGGATATATATTGAGTGATACATCTAGTGGCACAGTTAGCACTAACTTGTGTATATTGAGTGGTATAGTGAGCACTGCCTTGTGTATATTGAATCATGCACTGAGGCATGTGGTACAGAGAGTTGCCTTCTTTGTTTTTTTAGCCTTTGCACTGCAGCATATGGCACATATGCTGCAGCATGTGGCACAGAGACCTCTTTCACACATTTTCTTCCTTTTTTAGGGCCTAAGTGACATACTATCATTCCAAACCTAATCCTAGGACTGCAACTATAGCTTGATAGGCTCGTAAGCCCTTTTAAACTATACACCATGTCAATTTACCCAATTACCCTTAATTACTAACTTAATCTCGATTAACTTCATTAGTTGAGGTCAATATTTTTGGGATGTTACATCTTGGAACAAAGAATAGAGAATGTGAAACTTATAAGATTTCTAAGAGTAGGGAAAGAAATTAAAAGATCTGGAACAGGTAAGGTGAATAAAGGATGAAGAATAAAGAGTTTTGGTTACTAATGGTGATATTAAAGACAAATGAGAAACCTACTTTTTAAACTTTTCAATAATGGAGAGGGCTCGTCTAATAACTTGGAGGATTTAGTAACTCATGAAGAAAAACAATATTTGTCATTCTATTGAAGGATACGTGACATTAAGGTAAAAGAAGCTCTTAAAAAAATGATAAATGGTAGAGCCAATAGACCTAATTGTATTCCTATTAAAGTGTGAAAATGTTTAGGTGAAGAGAGGATGTGGTGGTCAACTAAGTTATTTAATGAAATCTTATGATCCAAGAAAATGCATGATGCATGGAAGAGAAGCACCTTAGTCCCTATTTACAAAAATAAAGGGAATATTTAGAATTGTGCAAACTATATAAAGATTAAACTTATAAGTCATACAATAAAATTATGGGAAAGAATGATTGAACATAAGTTGAGATTGAAGATTGGTCTTTTTGAGAATTAATTTGGCTTCATGCTAGGTTGGGTAACTATATAAGCGATTTATCTACTAAAGGGATTAATGAAAAAGTATCGATGTAAAAGTAAAGATTTACACATGATTTTTATTGATTTTAAAAAAAGCTCATGATAGTGTATCAAGAAAAGTACTTTGAAAAGCCACGGAAAAGAAAGGAGTTTGAGTTACTTATATTAGAGCTATACAATATATGTATGAGGGTGCAACAACTAGTATAAGAATGCCTAGTTGTGCAATAAAGGATTTTTTTTTATAAAGATTGGACTATATCAGGGATCATCTTTGAGGCCTTATTTGTTTGACTTGATCTTAGATATTTTGATTGAGCATATTTAAGAGAAAATCCCTAAATGCATGTTTTTTGTTAATGATACAATTCTTATTACGAAGACAAGAGAAGAGATTAACAGCAAATTTGAATTATGGAGGAAGACATTGGAATCAAATAGTTTTCACCTAGGTAGGAGTAAGATGTAATATTTGCATTGTAATTTCAATAAGAGGTCAGTTCATGATAGTTTGGAAGTGAAATTGGAATATCAGATTATATCTCAAGTGGACAAGTTTAGATATTTGTGAGTTATTATTTAACATAATGGAAAAATTGATTAGGATGTTGTTAAAGAGAATATTTATAAAAGTTGTTGATTAAGACCTCTCAATTAACAACATTTCTGAAAGTTTGGAAAATGATATAGTACAATGACGTCGTGTAATCAATGTAGCACACTCCACTTAGTAAAACAAGACTTGTTTGTTTTATCTATTAGTAGTAGTGTCCATGTTCCCCTTACCCTCGTGGCTCTCTGACTTATCGTGTGCAAAGCTCATACTCTGTCAAGCCTTGTTCTTCAGAGTCTGTGTGTGTTTGGATATGTTCATTTTTCATTTTCCTTTTTCTCGCTCACATTTTAATTTAATTTGTACAAAGAAGACCAAGGGAGGCACCAGTGAGAAGAGTGGAACATATAATTTTGAGTCCGATTAAGAGAGGTAGAGGAAGGCTTAAGAGAACACTCTTGGAAGTTGTTGAACGTGATCTCTTAATTAATAATATTTCTAAAAGCTTAATAAATGATAGAGCACAATGGCGTCTTGCAATCCATGTAGCCGACCCCACCTAGTGGGATAAAGGCTTGTTGTTGTTGTTGTTGTTGTATTGCATATATTATATTGATTTAATTTATTCTTCTGTGCGTTTGGGTTGTGTTAAATCTCTTCAACTTCTTCTTGCTCATCTTTCTTTCTCTCTTCATATCAAAAACAAATTATGGTAGCCTTTATCGTGTCTTTATGCACGTGTGCGGTTGGCAATGGGAGTGATGTGATGATGATATTGACAAATTGAAAAACAATTAATGTTATTGCTGATGAATCTAGCTAGGTGGTGCATGGTGGTGAGCTGATGTGTTTTTTTAATGCAGCCTTCTTTAAGAATATGATTAAATAGAGGAATATTTAGAATCTTGTGACCCTCCACATATCGGTTCGTTGACGTTGTCCCTTATTATTTTTTAGGGTTGTAAAGTACTAGTATCCGCTTCGGTCTTAAAAAAAAAAAAAAAGTACTAGTATCCACATATTATTAGAAATAAAGTTCATTACAGGTGGGCCAAGATCATGAAGCCGCAATATTTGAAGGGACGAAAATGAAACTAAATTACAAATTTCAGTCAAAGGGCGGAGATACACTTCCTATAATTATCTTCGAGACCTATATATCAAATATGCCCACGATCCGCGATCGCCATCATGTTTTTTTGTGAGAAAGAAAATTAATATAGCTATTATTTTAGGCATGCTGCCTCTGCCTGAAAGTGATGGAGTTCAATGAAAGTGCGCACAGCTCACTTGAATAGTCACTCATGGCATAATATAATTCATGACAAAAGGAAATAAATAAAGAGATTAAATAAGTAAAAACATTTTATTTCTATCAAAATAACAAAGGAGGTACTAAGGCAAATAGAGGTTTTTACATTGATTTTCGAGATCGGCCCGGAAGAATAACAATCTCTCCTCTTGTATTTTTTTCCTTCACTTGTGTACATCAATATAGCTCCAAAAATCAACAGACTCACCATTAACACACAGAACTTAAAAAAGAAAAAAGAAAAGAAAAGAAAAGGAGCACGAAACTAGGACATGAAATCCATTCTCTCAACTGCGATGCCGCAGAATATGACGAAGAAAATGATCAGCCACGTGCATTTATCGAGACCCCTTATCTTTGAGATGTAGTAGTTCATTGTCTCGATACGTTTTGAGACACAACCCAACTTCAAGGGTCGTCCATGGTTTAATACGACGATGCTCGTTCCATGATCGAACACCCACTTTTCCATTTCTGGCTCCTCGGCGAAGCACTTCACGCCAGGAAAATCACGAAGTCCTTGCATGTCGATTCCATTGCCGACGGAGCCATCACCAATGCTCCACACGATAGTACCGTTCTTCATACACTTCATATGGTCAACCTGGATGACAGTATCCTCGCCGTGGCCGGCACCGGAGGAAACAATTATGTCAAAATCGGAGAAAGCATCCTCATTGTGGATCATTTGAACCGGTGGCCCCATACCACAATAATGGATCTTACCACCGTGGAACACCGCCACACAAGCTCCGGCGTTCATCAAAGTAACAGCACATTCCTTTCCGGCATCACCATAACCCAAAACGGCAACTTTCTTTCCCACAATGTTGCCGTTGGTTGCTCTCTTCAAAATCTCAGGCAGAAAGTAGCGATAGCTTGGCAACAGAGGGATCTGTTTAACGAGCGGATAGAACAGAACAGGCATTATTTAACCTCGAAGATCAAAAGGAAAATTAAAAAACGGAAGGAAAAAATAGAAATAAAAAAGGCAAATCCATTTCCAAACGAGGTAACAATCGTGATTAAATCTAACAGCCAAGTTCAACAAGGAAGGAACGACGACTCGAAAAATGGCATGTTTGAGTTGAAAGAGTTACCTGATCAGGGTCATCGAGATCCCTTAATCCAAGCCCCCGCATGGGTTCCATTGCGATTGAGTATAGCGACTCAAAATCAGCTACTATCTTCTTGTTCTCGTTCTTAAGAGTAAAATTTTCAGCAATTTTGCAGAGCCTGTTATCAGAACCTGTTGTCTCATACTCATCAAAATCGAGAGCCCTGTTGCAGATGATTGCATCAGGAGAATAAGAGCCCCAATCTAGCGCTTGCTTCATAAAGCTTATGCGTTCTTCAAGCGTCTGGTCTTGTTTAACGAAGATGGGAATGCCGTAGTAGGCGATCGCAGCAGCAATATTGTCCCTTATAGAGAGCGTGGTTGATGAACAGACGCGTACACTGGCGCCAAGCATGGTGAAGGTTTCGATTACAACAGCTGTTGCAGCAGTTATGTTAAGCATGAATGTTATCCTTTTGCCCTTGTACGGTTGGGTGGAGATGTGATTGCTGCGGAAATTCATGATCGCCGGCAATCTCGCCTAGGCACGTTTGATCTCAAGGCGGCCGGAAAGGGCAAGAGACGCAAACGATGATGCCATTGTGGGTCGAACAAAGAAGATTGATTAAGAGGAAGTGTACACGTGAAGTGATTGAACAAGGAGCCTCAGAAACTTTTATACAGGTAAAATTCAGGCAACGGGAAAGTAAATTATAATACGACGTCGTAGCTCAAAACCTGAGTAATCTTAATGTTATTTTTGAGATGTTCCAGATACACATTCACTCATAGCTAGCTGGATTAATTCTCTGCTGCTGCGCACTCAAGCAAAGGAGGTAAGGTTTTGCTGGGTCTCATCACGTACGTGCAGGTGCTTTAAAAAAAAAAAAAAGTAAAGGAGAAACTTTTTCTTTTTCTCTCTATGGCTGCCAAATGTTCATGGTTGGCCACGTAGGATGCAGGTTAGGTTAGATATACATTTGGAATTTTCTTAGTGATTACTAATTTCTAATTTCTTTTCAATTCATATACTTTCATGAATTTTTTTAAACTAGAAATACAAAAGGGAAATCTTTTATCTGGACAAAAAAAAAAAAACAGCAAGAAGAAGATGAAGAATGTGTGTGTATAAAAGCAATGTAATAAAAATTGTACTTGTCATTGAACTGATCAAGATACTGTTTTAAGAGTTAATAATCAAAATCATATATAACTATGGTTAGTTCAGTCACAAACAAAATATTTTATTAAATTGGTTAATATAGTAATTTAATAGTAGTTTACTAGCTATTTCAACCAAACGAGTTAATTCAAATTTTGATACTATGGATAAGAAGCACAAGCCAGCGTACACAATAGTGATTATTATCATGTGTGCGAGACACTGGCTTGGTAATCGTTGAAACTAATGGATTTACAAATCCATATAACATGACCTGAATGCAATACTACTAGAATAGACTGAACAATACGTATTTGCGTTAAACCAATAAATATTTGTACATCAGTATTTATAGAACATAAACCTGAATAAACGACAACATCACTCAATACAGAGTAAACGAAATTAAACTACTAAATATGAAATGCATCACTTTTTCTCAATATAATGTATGTATAAGTGTACTCCATCTCTTTAAAACTGAAAAATTGAAGGAACCTAGTTTCATACATACCTACTCAACATGAGGTTAAAAGGAAATTGAACCTACCCGTGAAGTTTTTGCTAGGCATATAATTGAGATTTAAATCTTTTGAAATTAAGATTAGCAAATTTTCGTGAAGTTTCCCTTTTCAAGAAAGAGAGAGAAAATTTTATATTTTATAAAAAATAAAAAATGAGTGAAAATACTAAAAAAAACTTAACTTAAATTTATCAATCCCAACTTCAAAGGATTTAAATATGTGTAATTGATACTTTGATTTTTTTTATTCGTGCATTATTTTCCTAAAAGTTTTGAAAATAGCATTGTTAAGATTTTATTTTGAAAGAGCAATTAACTAAACTTTTGAATTATAATTAGCATCACAATATATTCCTTCAACGCTTTTGAAGTTTCTGTGCTCTCTGGAAAACACAGAACAGGAAACAAAAACAGCAACAGCAAGTAAAGAGAAAATAGATCCCTTCAAGCTAGCTAGATAAAACTAAAGTCCTGTCTTCTGCACATAAGCTAAAGCACATCTCGTGAACAAGGAAATATAAGCAAGAAATTAAAAGAAGCTTTAGTTCTTCACCTGAAAACTTCCTCCTTCGTCCTTCTTCCGTTTCCATCTCACTGGCAAGCCCTTTCAATCCCTTCTTTCTCCTATCCATGGCTTCAGACTTCATGCATAAAGCATAGCAAGCTTCAATATCACGACATAATTCTGTGTACATCGTTCCATAAGATCATCAATCGTGACCACTAATTAAGCTCCAAATTAGATCCCTACAAATGAAGATGAACATGAACTGATTCTGATCACAACGTCCTTTTACAAACCCAGATTCTGAATGCTCTAGCTTGTTGAATCCTTCCAGCTATGGAGAGGAGAGAGAGAGAGAGAGCGCCATAATTCACCTCGAGGATGGTTCAAATGGCAATTAATAAAGCATGCATCTTTTCAAATATGAGCCACTCGGTCAGCCAGCATTCTCATAATTAACATTCCAGATACAGGTCCCACGCGTACAGAAGGAAATAAAAAAAATATGAATTTATTTATGGACAAAATTATTAGAATGAAATAAATAAAATTAAGGGATATGATAATGAAGACAATTGATATTAAGGACGAGCGTGAATCTTCAAAAATAATAATAATAAAAAAGAAATAATTTAAGACTAATTAGAAATACGAAAAATACAAATCTCATCGTCCCCAAGACAATCCCTTTTTCCACCAACTTGAATATATAAAGTAAATAAAGGCAAGTTAGGCAGCAAACCACGAAACATCATCATCGATCCACACCGTGGTGGGCGAAACACTAATGTAAATATAGTAGAAAAACGCAGACTTGCTCTAATTAAAAATTTTAAGTGTGCAAGTTACATTTTTATCAATATTTTTGATAATAGAACAAGTATTACAAATATAAACGGTGCTCTACATGCACTATAGAAAATTCAGACAATAAAAATAAAGCATCCTTTTTTGCAGCAACATCAAAGTGAAGTAAGGATGTTGCCAATAACCTAAAACAAAATTAACATAAGAAGAAACATTCGCCAAGCCTGGATAGAGGAAACGGATACATTGGAAGACTTGGCTTTGAATGTGGGCATAGATAGGGAACCCCTCGGATTCATGGGGAAAAAAGAGTGGGGCGCCAACTTGAATCAAACAAATGATCAACAAGAATAGGTGAGAAATCTAACTTTAGCCAGAAAGCTAATGGCTTATGCTACAATCAAAAAAGATAAAGAAAGCCCTAGAGAAATTATGAATACTCACTTGCATTGAACATATGAGTGAGGGAACACTCACGCCTTGGATGTTAGGCAATAAGGATGACAAAATTAGTTACCTCGGTAGCAATAAGGGAAGATGATGAAACCATTGTGAGCTAAGAGTTCTAAAAATCATTGAAAAAGCAAGGAAAGCTGAAGAGATGGGAAAAAGTAAAGAGAAGAGAAAACCAAGGGTTTAAATGGAGTTCTGCAACCCTAAATGTGTAGAGCAAGCAGGGAAATGATGGTAGTGCTCTAGGAACATGCATGAAGTAACAGTTACCCATATCCAAGCTTGACACATGGTTTATGGAGTACGTAAAAACTAAAGCATACACAGTCATTTCTCTCCCTTAGCATAGAAATGTCACACACGAAAGGGGCAATTGTTGGAACAAAAACTGTCGTATTGGATCTAAAGAGGAAAATAACCAAAGCCCAATCCAATTTGAAGCAAGACTCAACCTAATAGCAGACCGACCTCATAGGTGTAAGCAGAACATCATATTTGGAAAGCCAATAATGCAGTCTTAATGACTCTGCTCAATTCATGAGTTTCTTAGTGCATTCACTCTCACCGCTCACATGACAAAGCATATCCTTAGTGATTTAATGACTAAACAGTTATTTGATCCTTATAGTGCTAAAATTACAATTCAAAGGACCATGGCATTGCCATTTTCCTATAGACAAAGGGGAAAAAATACTCATGAAATTCTCGGCCAAAACCATCCAGTAGCCTAAAATAGGAAAAAGAGCAAAAATACCCATAATGTTACCTAAGTATAGGTATAAGGAGAGTTGACTTGAATTAAAGGATCAATAGGACTAGGTGAGAAATCTAACTTTAACTATAAAATTGATGGCTTATGCCACTAGTCAAAAAAGATAAAGAAAGCCTTCGAGAAATTATGAATACTCACTCGAATTGAATGTATAAGCGAAGGGAAGAGAGAGCACGCACCTCCTAGACCTTAAGCAATAAGAATGACAAAGTTAGTTACCTCAGTAGCAATAGTAGAAGATGACAAAGCCATCATGAGTTAAGAGTTTTGAAAATTGCTATAAAAAAAGGAAGGAAAGTCGAAGAGATAGGTAAAAGTGAAGAGAAGAGAAACTAAGGGTTTAAATGGAGTTTTGCAACCTTAAATGTACTAGCTGCTGGCACAAGTTTTACTCTTAAATAATTGCACACAAGGAAGTTGGACATCCAAATCCATTTTCACACTTTCAAAATACATAAGATGTCAAAAACCCAACACTTGTGCCAAAAAACTATAACCATCACTTAGAACACACTCAATGGACCTAGGACTACTTGTTCAACACATCACATGCACTATATCACTCCAATATATTATTTTTATAATATCCTGAACTTCAATATATAAAATTAATTGCTAATTAGAGATAAATTAGTAGTTAGTGGATTGAATGTGGTTTTGGATAGTGGGTTAATGTGTGGTATTGGTTGGTAGGTGTGATTACAGGATCGGATAGTAGAATTGCAATTCGAGACATAACACGCAAGCACTAATAAGATTTGTCTTGATGTGCCACATACTGCTGCATGTGCTACATGTGCCATGGTGCATGGCATAAACTTTGCTTAAAGCTAATGTGCTCAACCCATGTTTTAGATAAGAGAAGGCAAGAAAAACATGTGATAGGGCATCAATTTGTATAAGCTAGGGAGTTTACTTCGACCAGTGAATTTTTAGATAAGTTTCATGCCACCCTATACTACATTTCTGCCCTAATTTCTCTAAGTTTGATTAATAAAAAATTAAATCAAGGAGTTTTAAGGGGTTAAAATCTAGAAAAATGTTTTAGAAAAGCTCTTGGGTGTGAAACTAGGGTTTTCCAAATTGTCTAGGATTTGATAGTTGAAGCTTTAAGTTATATGCTCAATTTAGCTTAAGTGGTTAAGTTGTTAAGGGTGGAAATGCTAGTTAAATGAATTAAGAGAGTGTTTTGGTCATTTCATAGCCTAAGAACATGTAATTGCAATAAATAAGGTAGCTAAATCCAAGAAGTACCATTAGAATTGTTATAAGTGCTAAGTGGTGTAATTTAGTTAATTTTTGTTTTATCTTAAGTATGAAAACTAATCAAGGACACCTTATTGTGCAGTTTGAGCAATTGAGTAACCATTAATGGAAATCTACATGCTTTAAGTGAAGTAGTATAAATGGTAACTTTTAGTAATAAGAGTAAAAGGTAACTAAAATAACCTTTTTATTTATTAGTTTATAAAATGACTAATGAGTATTTTATATTAATTGTATGCATTGTCTTTAATGAACTGATAGAGTAGAAGTATTACAAAAGAACTATATGTGCATGTGTGTGTGAGTAATACTTGCAAGGTATGTGAAGTAACATGTGCATTTGCATCAGCGAGCATACCCTGGACTAAGGTAGGGGTTGCGGCTCTACACTATGTAAGGCTAGAAAGTCTTGAAAGGTCCTAAGCATTGATAATGATCCATTAAGGAGGAGCTAGGAATATATACATCCATAAGTATACCCTAGACTAGGGTAGAGGGTCATGGCCCTACTTTGTATAAGGCTAGGAAGTTTTGATAGTCCAAGCCTTAAGCTTGCTCTACTAGTAAGAACTCAAGAGACCACCAATATTTGTAATACTTAGTTTAAGGTGGTGGTTTGGTGGGCCCTATTTTGTGTAAGGCTGAAGTCTTGGTTCGAGCATTAGGCTTGCTTCACTAATAGGAATCAAGAGTATATAAGCATAGTAGATGAATGAGCATGTTATTAAGTGTATATCTATTTATACTACTCTATTGAAATTGATGCTACTTTTTCTCTTGTATTTAATTTTTCTTACTAATCAATAATTTAGGTTTATCTAAGTTACTGGGACATATGTCACATACTATTACTTTTGTATACAAGTAAAGAGAGGACATGAAGGTCGGGAGAGAAAGCGAGGAAAGATTAGCTTCATTTGGTAGTGGTATAACTACCTTTATATGTAATGAACATATATTTGTGTTTAAAGAGTTTTAGGTTGCTAAATAGGATACATATAAGTATTAATGCATGTGTGTGTGTGTGTGTGTGTGTGTGTATGTGTGTGTGTGTGTGTGTTAATTTTGAGTTGTGATGACTTGCTTGTGTAAATGAGGTTGTATCTCACCAAGTATGTCACTACAATGAATATGTGGATAACCCTAAATACTATTCAAGTAAGTATATGTTATGTTGTATAACTTTTCCACTAATATTGAATATGAATATGAATTGTCGTATGAATTGTAGTGTATCTATGTGAAACATGACTAAATAGTAAGGCTTGGCCTCAATTGTATGAGTTAAGTATATTTGTTATTCCTGACTATATGGTGAGGCATAGCCCCATATGTGAAAGTTAGAGGTACAAAAGTGGAACAAGTGTGTTGTTGTTCATGTGTTATATGTGTGCCTCATATAAGACTACAAGTGTATAATATGACATTGAGAGGTTAAATTGTGAATATGATGTGATATATGTGATACGATGTGTTAATCAGGTGTATTTGGACTTAGTTCAAGACTCAAAGTAGTATAATGAAACAATATATGAGAATTGAACACTTAGGGTGCTTAACTTTAAAAGAAAATGTAGCTTTTTGCATTGAGCTATCCAATTTATAATTACCATTGCATTATATCCAAACTTATGTCATTAGATAAATTATATTATAAGCTTCGTGTGGGCATTTGAATCACTCCAATCAAATGTGAAAATGGTATGCGGCTGAAGTTCGTATCAGAAATCTACCATGACAGTAGAATCTAATACATGCACCGTGGTACATGGTGTGCAAGCCATGTCACATGTCATAAAAGTAAAGCACATAGGTCTATACAACATGTCGTGGTGCTTACTGGTATATGTTGCAATGCATAGCCTGTTTTTTGAAACATTATTTGTTTATTTTTAAAACATAGAATCCCAACTTCATAGAAAATATATTCAATAAAAAGGGCTATCTTTGATATTGTATTGTTATTGCAAGCTCAGGTGTAGATGTGTAAGGAAAGCTCGAGGTAAAAATTGAGGCTTTATAGTTTAGTATTAGTCTTATTTAGTTTTGATTTGCTTTTGCATTGGTTTCTTT